CCCCCCCCCCCCCCGCCCTTTCAGTGCCTGGCTCGTGAAAAGTGACCAGACATTGTGGGATATTGAAGTTATTCTTTTCTATCCTCATGTTTCCCGAGCATTCTCCACACTACTCTGCACCGTGGTCCCCATGTTTTAGATGTTTGATAAAAACCTGGGGGTGAATTTGTTGAAGGTGGTTGTAGTGGGACCCCAAAGGGAAAACTCTAGAAGAGCAGGTTGATATTTGCCGCTGAAGGGCACAGCCTGGCCTCCATGGAGATTGTCTGTAACTTTTCCCCAGTGGATGGTGAATTACCGAACGGTGGAGACCGTGTGTGTCTGTTGCCATATCCTGGGTGAACTGAACTGAGTAAGGTACACAGAAGGTGCACAGCCAGCCTTCGTCGTTGAACCGGGCTGTCAAGGCTCCTGGTAACTCAGGCCGAGGCGCGTTCCGTGGTGCAGCTAAGAAGGGTATTGAACCCAGCAACTTGGGCGTGGCCTCTGGGAGTTAGGAATCAGGTTGAACTTGCAGGCTTCTGAGGGCTCCCCGAATTGGTGCTCGTCTTCACTTCTCTTTCCGACCGGTGGGCGCCTTCCTCTCCACAAACTGCTTTACTTATCCGCTCTCTCAGCTTAGTTTATAATGTGCACCTCTGTGTTAAACACCCTAACTGTGCTTGAGACTCTGGAATCCCAGCCACATCCCAGGGCTGTCTTGCCTAGCCTCTACCTCCTTCCACCTGTCCCGGCCAGTGTTTGGGAGGGGACAGGGCCGTGTGGAGAGCCTGGTGGGAGCTGGGCTGTGTGCTGTGTTATCCTGCGAAGTAGGCAGGTAGTGATGTCTAAGCCAGGAGGTGAGGCTGCCTGACCCCAGTGCGTGCCACCATGGCCCGACATGACACCTTTATCTTCTGTGTTAGTCCTGTCTGGCCACTGAAGTGGGGAGGCAGGGGGCATATGCCTCATCCTGTGGGTCTTGGTGTGGTGCTGGGCTCCTGGAAGGCCAGAGCACATTGAAGTGGAGGAGGAGGAGGGACATTCTAGCAGGAATTGACTCGATTGACCAGGCAGCCAGGCTGTGTGGAAGGAGTTACACGTTCTTCGCTGGGAACCGACGGTCTGCTTTTCTTTCATGGGTTTTCTTTCCTAATCTAATGCTGAAGTTAATTTCTCTGCCCTGTGTAAAGGCAAATTCATTAATTGGCACCTACTTGTTAAGGATATTAGGATGATTGACCTATTGGAAAGCATTTTCAGGTAGGGGGTGAAGAGTCTCCTCTGAAAATTCTTCACTGCCTCTGAGTATTGTGTTCAAATCACCGTTGGTATCTTAGCTACGGCTCAACTAACTCAGCCTCTTTCATAAATCAAAGCATTGATCTTGTGAGATTAATGTTTTGTGTCCCTTAAAATTATTATTCACAATTTTACTGCCTGCAAACTAGGAAAACGTCAAAAGAGACAAAATGAAAAGGTTCCAGGAATATTAAGGATTCTCTCTCTCTCTCTCTTTTTATGTTTATTTATTTTTGAGAGAGAGAGAGAGAGTGGGAGAGAAACAGAGTGTGAGTGGGGGAGGGGCAGAGAGAGGAGACACAGAAT